ACTTGGAACCCATACTCCATGATCGAGCAATATATTTGTCAAAAGGTGTGGCATAAATAAAATCTTGAATATATAATTTTTTTTCGTGTGAAATGGGCCAATCATCTTAATAGGGAACTTGGTGTTTCACATGGACTTAATGTAGTTATTGAAATTTTTTTTAAACAAAAAAGGTCGCAGTCTATAATTATAAATAATGGAAGAGTTGTAGATTTTAAAATTTGAAATTTAGATTTATTAGATATCATTTTTTAAAAAATACTGTATAAATCAATCGGTTAAACTTAAATTTCGGGTTCAATCATTTAAAAATTTTATTTTCAAAATTTCTTATGTTTAGATTAGTGGCTTTCAAAGCTGATCATGATGATATTTCTGTGCACATAAATTAAATCCCCTTGTCAATGAAGGGAATTTAAAAAAAAAAAAAAAAGAAACCTTCATTGAGGGAAGTTTTGTTTGGTAAAGAAAATTTCTCTTTCTCCTTTTGCACTTTAATAAAGCAGGTTCTTGCACAAGAGGAAAACAGATTCAGCTGAATTATATTCATTCAGGACCATCAATTGCTTGGAAAGAAAAGGATCATATCTTTGTCAAATAAACCATTCCACATGTTAGAATCAAAATGCTATCTGCTTTAGTCTTCTTTGAGAATATGGAAAATAGCGACGAAAAATATTTTGCTTACTATTTTTTTTTTTTTTTTTGTAAAATTCAGTTGTAAACCGTAATCTTCAAATATGCATGGTTTTCGAGGTTATGTTGTTCAACCATATGGAAGTAAATTTATAGCTACATGCTAACAATTATGTGGTCTTTCGAGAAAATGTTAGATTATTAATTTCAATAATAAAAAATTAATTTTTTATAGCTTTAAATATATATAAAAACAAATTATAGCTACATCAATCCTTCCAAAAGAAGCAATGTGTCAAGTTTAAATGTTTCTTTTTTGTTTTTCGTTTTCCAAACAATTTTCAGAACGGAAGAAAAATATATCAAGGAAGCAGCAATAAGATGTTGAATTGACATATTTTACGAACTATTACGAAATCTTAGGTCATGTTATAGACTTGAACAAATTACCATACAACAGGATTTCATGCGCTCTTTTCTCTTTGTTTTTTAGTTTTAGTTACATATTTAATATATGAATTTTGATAAAAATTTATAAATTAATATTTTAAAAAATAAAATATACAATTTGTACAATAAACTTTTAAATTATGTATTATATTAACTTAAATACTAATTTCGCTAATCATTTCAGCTTATATATTGGCGTTTAATAAATATTATTAAGTCATGTATTCACTATATATATTACCGATATCTTTTTTAATATAAATTAAAAGAATAAATTTATTTTTTATGTGAATCGTAAAAATTATTTAATATCGATTAATTATTATTTATCACGTGAAATCCATATGACATTCAAATAATATTTTTACAAAATATTTAATATTTTATTTAATAAATAATATACATATAATAAAATTATTTTGATTAAATACTATATACCTGAGTTGAATGAACAATATTAAAAATTGAATTAAAATCATATATTATTTAAAAATTTAAAATACAAATTATATATTTTATTTCTTTAAAAGTCAATTTAAATACCAAAAATATTATAGATTCTTTTCTTTCCTCATTTAATCACACTTACAATGTCAAAATGTTTATTTCTACACTTTGGGCTTTTGGCTCTTCAAAGCCAATTTGGAAACTTTTTTTTTTTGGCCATCCCGTTAATAATCAATTGTTTATCTCTACATGCTTTTTTTTTTTCCAGCTTCTTCTTCATATGTAAATTTGACAATTTAAAAGATAAAAATAGTGATACATTATAAATATGATTAAAAAATATAAAATAATATGATTTAAAATTTTAATAATAATTATATATAAATTTAATAAATTAAAAAAATATTTTATATTTTATATAAATACGAATTATAATATAATTTCGTATAAAATAATATAAATATATATTTTAATATTTTACATTATAAATATATAAATTATCAATTTTAAATCAAATTTTATCTTATACATGATCATTTTTTACTTTTTTTTCCTAATGAAGCGTAAAACTAATTTATAAGTCTTCATAATTTTAAACCACTAAAAACGTGTGGCTACAAATCATTGGAAATAGGAAGGAAAAATTCAAATCTAATTCTTTGAATAAAGAATTCGTACAACTATTATAGTATTATTATTGTTGAACCGAATGTTCGGTTGCATTATTGCTATAATTATACAAAGTTCACGCTTAAAACGGGTTGATTTTTATTTTAGCATGATTTAAAGTTTAGTTTGGATGCATGAAAAAAATTTTCATCATATTGAGATTTTTATTTTATGACTGAATCCGACAAGATGAGAGAGCTCTAACCATGGCATCCATATGTCCAAATTAAGCCTGATTAAGGAAAATCGCATCAGCAGACGAAAAAAAATCTCCAACCATCAAATTTTCAACCAAGCAATCTCCTGTTAAATTAGATGCTATAGTAAAATTATTCACCAGCTATTTTGACAATTGCAATGCCTAGTTTTCGAAAACTACTGGCAAAAAGAAGCTTGTGTTTCTGCCAACATTTATTTCCTCCTTAAACAACATAAAACCTCGGACGTAAAGAAGCTATCCACAATGAACAAACATCATTAAACAAAACCAAACCCACTTACAGACTGCGGTGATGAGTCATAAGTCATGAAATGAAAGGCTGTCCATCTGGGGATACTAATGTAACATGCATGACAGGACTGCTACCAATTTCTGTCCTCGAATATTTATTTGTATGCAAAAGGCCCCCACAGAAATCAACCAACCCTCCTTTGCCTGTCTCTAAATTCAAAGGTTAATGTTTATGAATTATTGTAAAATATTTAATATAAATTTTGAATTTTAATAATATTAAAATTAATCTTTAAATTATAAATTTTTAATATAATTAATTTTAAATAATGATATGTACTTAATAAATAATTTTTTAAATATCACATTAATTAATAAATTTATAATATAAATATCATATTAAAAATTTTTAAAATTTAAATATTTTATAAAATATTTTATTATAATTAAAAATGATTTTAACATATTAATACTAAATCCAAAAGAAAGGTCTGCCATACAGCCCGGCATTAAATTTACAACTATCTGACATCCATTTAATAAGGGCTTTATTCAACAACTCCAATTCCCAAAATTAGTGAAAAAGAGAAAGAGGTAAAAATTTTTGTCTGGTTCACAAACTGAAAATTCACCAATAATCCAGCATGATATTTCTTTTGTTTTGTGTGGTTCCCTCACAAAGCCAAAAAACCAATAGAAAGTCATAAGAGTAGACCCACCAAGATTGCAAGATCAGTAATGAATAGTGGCAGCACTTGTTATTTTCAGTTATATTGTCAGGTAGCAGCGCAAAAATAGACAAATGAACAACGATTAAACATAATAGCAACAGAAAACAAAAAAAGCATCAAGGCATGACAGTTTTTTTTTTTTTTTTTAATTTTTTTCCTGTTTTACGTAGCCCGGTGAAATTCCGTTTCCCGTGAAAGCTGTGATCATTGCACTGATTATCCGTTTGGACGATTAATTTGTAATGCAAAAATCAGTTTTTAATGATAGGAGGTTTTGAGTCCAGTGACCCAATTTCTGTTTGGTATTTTTATTTTACTGTTTTGCCTTTGCAATTATATGAAAGAGACAATAATATTTTTATAATTTAATTTTTTAAAAATTCTTTTATTTAAAAATTATAAAATAATTTTTTTAATTTATATAACTAAAATATTATTTAATATGTTAGTATTATTTTATTAATTTTAATTATTTATTAATAAAATTATTATTTACCATAAGAATAATTTAATAAAATTTTATTTATTAATTTCATAAATTTTAAATAATTTAAATTTAGTATTACATATAAATTTTAATATAATATTTTTAATAAACAGTTTTTTCTCATTACAATTTATCTTATCGTCTTCACTATATTTACACTTAAACACATATATGATTTTAATTTTATTATTATAATAATTAATCTCACATCCACTGTTATTTTTAATCTCATCAGAATAAATTTTATCGTCATTCTCAATGAATCCTTAGTTTGCACATAAAAACAAAGGTTTCAAATCCAGTTACCTAATTTTACTTTTATTTTTGTTTTTGTTATATTCCCTGCATAATTATACCAAATAATGCATTATATGATAATAGGTACATTATCTAATGAAAGGTGCACTAACACAATAATAAATTTTTTTTTTAATTCTTAGAATTTTTTAATTTTTCTTGTAATGCTATATGGCATTAATTGAATTTTTTAATATGTGTAAATTTTTTTTAGATATTTATATTATGTCAATAAGTTAACTATCGGTTTTAGTTCGAGTTATCAAAGTGATTACTAGAATGAGAGTTGTAGTAACAAATTAACAATTTTATTTTTTTCTAGATACTAAATTGACAAAAAATTTATAATACATAAGCCAAATGAGAATTTAACCCTAAAATAAAACTATCTGTTTTTTTCTTTTTTTGGTAAGATGGAAATAAAACTATCCTATGCTTATACTATTAGTGAACCAAAACGTAATGATAGCGTAAGTCACTATTATTTCATTAATCAAAAGACACTTTTTGTTTGCTTATAATTAATTATCAATTTTCGGGTTGATGCAACACATAACAATATAGAAAGGTTAGTACTATGCAAAATTCTCGATAGAAATAGAGAAGTTTTCAACATTCATTCTTCTAAGAAGTTTCCTTGCAAAACATGAAATTTAAACTGTGAAAATTGAATTATTTTTGAATATATGATTTTGTTCTAAACTGATCAATCAAATTTAACGTTTCAACTTTATACTTAAAAAAGCAATTTATTTTATTTTCGCAAATTTTGCTACACATATACATATATATATATTTTACCATAATAATAATAATAATAATAATAATAATAATAATAATAATAATAATAATAATAAAACGTCGCTTTTTTGCTTAATTTTATCCTTCTCAAGCAACACTGATGATGCTATTGCTATCTCCATTGCTGAAGCTTGGCATCACCCGAAGTGTAGAACGTCTCGAAGATGAAGAATCCATTTGATCAGATTGCAAAGACAGCTTGAGTGACACTGGCGAAGGATCCATGACTGAATTCAAGTTCAAGCAAAGATCAGATGCCTGAGGAGCAGGGGAAATAGGGACCGAGCAGATAAGCTTTGCTGCTGCATTATTATTCGATTGGTTCCCATGTCCTAATGTCAGATTTTCCGTTGGATTCTCAATTGGAACCGGTTGAACTACCCGATTAACAGTAATAGGAAAAGCCGCCGGTATCATGGGAAACCCATTAGTTTCAGGTGGCTGAGATGCGTTCTCTTGTCGATGAACTTGCTCTTCTTCCATTGGAAGTGCTGCTACCTAACCATAGATTACAGTATCAAAATAAAGGCCAGTAATTTATGAAAAATATTTCTACACTACATGCGACAATTTGAAATAAAGTCTTTAATCAGTTATTAGCCTAATTCTAATAAAATAAATCAAAATTAGATTTTTCTTATCAAATATTCGTCTTTCTATCAATCCAGCTAATCGGAGTTAAAGTCTCAAGATTCAATCGATCAAACTTTTTTTTTGTTTTTAATTTTTAGAGAAAAGAAAAGGTGTTGAGAAAAGAGATAGGTATAATAGTAAAGAATAATACCGAACCGGTGGTGATATCGAAGAGGCTAGATCTACGACGGCGGCGATTGTGATTGTTTCGTCGGAGAAAGTATTTCTGAGCATGGCTCGCCACTTGTGTCGGCGTTCGAGTCTTAACGAAGTTTCTAGAAATCCCTCTCCAATCCCCTTTACCTACTTTTTGCAATCCTAACAGAAACAGCTTGTGCTCTTTCTCCGTCCACGGCACACCTAAATTTCATTTTTTTTCAAAAAAAAAAAGCAAAATCAAATAAAAATGAAATCAGAAATTAGAAATTAGAAAAGCGAAAGAAAAAAGGTAAAAATCTAAAAATTATATATACAAAGAACCTCGTTTGCGCTCGCGATTTCCGATGGAGTGGGGAACGGCATTGTCAGCGGAGGCGTAACCGGCGGTGACGTTATCATTGTTATTGTTGTTATTTTTGTTGTTATTGTTAGATTCAGGAGGCTGTTCGTATTGAGAAAGATTGTTCATACTAACACTTTTCCTCATCGAATCAACCACCACTCTGACTCCGAAAAGCATGATCTCTCCCCTGCCGCCGCCTTTCTCAGTGGAAATGGCTGTGGAGAAAGAGGCTGAGGGGCACGTGGCAGGCGGCATTCTCTTTTTCCGGTTTTTTTACTGTAGAAGAATATGAATTTATAGGCCGTACAAGATGAAAGAGAGAAATGGGAAAGAACGGACATGGTGGGAAGTCGCGTGAAGCATATATATAGGGTAAGGTGGGTGCTAAGTTACGGAAACTGTTTTCCATGGGCGGAAAATTACGTGGCGTTTAATGGTTGGTAAATCGGTTGGTGAATCTGTTTTATATATTTGTTACTCTGTCCGTTTATCAAATCTCTGAAAAGATAATGGGGAGGCTGGCTTAGCGGGCTTTCTTATGGTACTTCGCGGTAATACTCTGGATAATAATGCTGCAAGGTTGTAAAATTAAATTGTTTTTAACTATTCGCATATACAAATTTTAAATTTTATAAATGAAATTAAAATTTTATCTGTCTTTTAATATAATTTATTTTATAAAATTATTATTGTATACACTAACTATAGAATTTTTAAACGAGATTAAAAAAAATCCTATCATGATTTTTTGTTATATATTAATTTATTATTTTTCAAATATATCACATTAAATATGTGATAATTCTATAATTTCAGTGATGAAATTTAAAATCTCTACAAACTGCATATTATATCATTTTTATTTATTGTATTATCTTTAAGATATACTTTAATGGGATATTTGGCAATCTTTTAATTTCTCCATTAGAGATATATTAGATAATTTCTCTTATCTCTTTTTTTTTAATTTTGCTTTTTTTGCTCAAAAAATATAGTTTTTTTTTAAAGTAGAATATAAAGATTTCATTGCAAACGTAATCAGCAGTAATAACATCATGGTTGAAAGGTGGGCATTCCCCTGTCCAGATCACTGTGTTTTCTAGGCTAAGTGCATTTCTTGTTAGGGCATGAGCAGCTCCATTTGCTTTCCTCCTTACATGGGCCACTTTAACAAATTCCAACCTGTCCCAGATTATGTGTACGTTCGCTACTATATTCCCTATCAGAGACAAATCCCTTGTTCTTGGATTGATGCTATTGATTACTTGGATAGAGTCCCCCTCTATGACGACACAAGGGAGGCACATTTCTTCAGCTAGCTTGAAGGCTTGGACTGCTGCTCTGGCTTCTACCACTAAGGGGTCACACGCATCTTCCATTTTTGCTACAGAAGCCACCGCACAATGTCCTCCATGGTCTCGTATTACCACACCAGTGCAACCTCCACTCCCATGCGCTTTAAGGCTCCCATCGAAATCTACTTTGAAGCTGCCATAAGGTGGTGGCTGCCAATGAACCTCCTCATCCACATCCTCTCGTTCTGTCCTTGCATTGGCTAGCCTGTATTCCTCCAAATAATCCTTAGCAATATTTGCGTGTCTGTGGGACCTCGTTTTACTGCATTCTTGACTTCCATATTTCGACTGTGCCAAATTGCCCAAGCTACAACCAGTACCATTTCCAAACTATCATTTCCAATCTCTTCTACAATCCTAGCCAAATACCCGCGTTGCTGTCCTGGAATCACATTTTTCCACCTGTTTAAATAGTCGTACAGTACCATACTGCCTTAGCATGCTCACACTCCCATAATGCATGTATTACCGTCTCATCCTCCTAGTCGCATCTCAAACAAACCGGACTGACCGCAATATTTCTCCTTCGCAGGTTGCTTAAAACTGGTATATAACCATTATTTAGCTTCCATCCAAAGATCTGGTTCTTGCTTGGGATTCTTCTTTTCCAAAGGTTGTTTTTTTTTTTTTTCAGAATCTCATCTTAACCTCATTGCATGGTTAGTCTCCTTGATTGTGTACCTCTCCCATTTCCGTGCATAGAAGGCGGTAGAAAGTTCAATAAAATAATAATAATAATAATAATAATAAATAAATAAATAAATGAAACGAATAATAAAGAAAACAAAAATAGAAAGTTCAATAAAATAATTATTTTCATAGGGTTTTAATAAATTTAACAATCGAGACTTTTTAAAAAAACGAATGGATTTCTTAAATATTTTTAAAGTGAGAAAATTTTTAAAAAATTTATCAAAACGATGAAAAAATCTTATGAAAAATTTTAATATTTAAATAATTAAAAATTTAGAAAAACAAAAAACCATTTAATTAAAACCATTTTAGGATAACAAAAGATTATTTGATATTGTATTTAGACAGGCTATGAGATGCTAATATTTTCACATGCATAATCATGCTCTTAAATTTAACTTTGTAACGTATATCAAAACCTATATTTTTTTAAGAAATCTTAATCACATTTAAGATTTCTTCAAAATTGATAATTTTAATTTGGTAATCAATCATATTTCAATAAAAAAAATTAGTGATTACTACTAATTTTATGAATTTTTTACGTTTAACAATCGAATAATTGGACCAATAATTGGACCAATAGGTTATGATAATTGTTTGTTGAAAAGCCATGGTGATCCATCCAAGACTCTTTTCTTGTCTGCCATGATTGAGAATTTAAAAAGGAAAAAAATTGTCCTCCAAATCTATTACTTTATTTTAACCATTCCTTTTATTGCCTCCCTGTTGAAAGATCACTCGGTTAGGAGTTTTCCTACAAGCCAGTTTTTACCAATGTCAATCTTATCCCCTGTTGCAGGTCCTTCTATCACAGCATGATCTTTTTCCTCCTCTGTTTGCCTCAAATGTTAACATAATCCATCCAGTTCATCCTTCATTCCCTTTGTATCATTGACTATGACTGCTCCATGACTTAAAAAACAAGTTACTAGATCCTCAAAAACTACCTAATCCAGACGAGCTTAAAGTAATAAAATTCTTGTATCAAAACAAGACTTAAACTCTTCCGCAGAGACTTGATCTCCGATAAGACTTTCTTGGAAAACCTATTAAGTGGACAACCAGTGGTAAGAATTAAAAGGTCAAATTTTTTATTTTAAAGTTGAAAAAGAAAAAAAATTAATGGAAGGCGATCATTTTTCAATGTTCGTAACGAACCTAGACTGCAAAATAGCCTTTATGCATTCTTTATGAGATTGCCAATTATTTTGGCTTTCATGCACTTGTTAACAGTTCAATAAGAATTGATAGTGATGTTCTATCAGTCAGTCACAGCGCTGAAATTATTTGATTAATATTTGGAAAACTAAATCAACTAGTCTAATTTGATTTGAATGGGCTTGGTTTGAAAATTAAAAAATTTTGGTTTGATTTAAAAAGCTAACCGAATTAAAATTTTGGTTTCAATTTGATTCGGTATTATTTTAAATTTAATTGAAATGAAAAATCAAATTAAAAATAAATAATATAATGATATTTAAATTATATAAATATTTTTTATATAAAAAAGGTTATAATCTTTAGATGACGAAGAAATTATGGATATTCGGATTTAAATTCTAAATTTATTGATGTTAATTTTCAAAAGTAATTGTATCAATCAATTAAATTAAAGTTTAAATTTATATTACATAAATATTTTATATTTTGTTTGTATAAGTTTTTATATATTAATATTTTTATCTAAAATATATATACTCATTTTAATTTAAGCATTCTCTAAAAAATTAATCTTATGCATAAACTATCTTTAAGGCTCTAACTCTAATCTTTCTTCTCTAAAAATCAATGCCCTATCCTCTATTTTTTTTTTTAGTGACAGATTTTGACTTTTAATTTTGAGGAGGTCAAAATAATATTTTATAATAATTTTTTTTCAAAATATATCAAATCTATCAGTAATAAAAAAAGATACAAACATATAATAACAAAACTTACAATTATAAATATACTAATATGTAAATATATATAACAAAATAAACATATTAAACAATTGATGTCACAATTTTTTATTATAAATCACTAACAATATTCTTTATAAAAATAAAATCATTATTTTTTTTACAATATTAACATTTTATTTTATCATATTTAATATTTAAAGTATTAAAATGAAAAGTTAAAAAAATATATTTTTTAAATAAATTAAATTTTAAAACAATAAAGTAAAGACTTTGATCATAAATTAAAATCTTCTAATTTTTTACATGGTATTCTTACATTATGAAAAATAAAATTATATTTAAACTAATCATATTAATTGTTTTGACATGTAATAATTTTCAAATAAAATGAGCATGCAGAATATAATAAAAAAATTTATTGAAAAAATGAATCACAGTTGGATATTTGTCAAATTGGTTTTAGTTATTATAATACTTGCATATATATTAAACTTAAGTTTACATGTTTGTAAAAATAAGTGTTGACAAATTTGTTCTTTTTAAATTAAAAATTATTTGTAATAAGTAAAAATAAGTTAAAGAACTATATATATTTAAATTAACGTTGTAATATTTAGATAAAAATATTTTTTTGTAATTATATATTCAATATAAATATACGAAATAAAGAATAATATATATCAATACAATAAATTTAAGTTTAAGGAGGCCAAACTAATTTTTTTATAAAAAAATTTCAAAATTATTATAAGAATAACATATCTATAAAAAAAATTTGTAAAATTTTATTTGGAAACAAGCCCTCTTCAAGTTTCAACACTAATTCATTCTTATTTGTGAGTGATTAAAAATAATTTTTTAAAAAAGACAATGTATACAAGAAAGTGCGGGGAGAATTTACAGGACAATAATATCTTATCAAATACATTTTTTTTTATTCGAAGTGAAATGAATCAAGTCAACATAATATGCACCTCCTAAAATTTGTCTTTAATTTGTTTTTTATTAATATTATGAATGATCAAATTATAATATGATTTTTAAATTTAAAAATTTTTTAATATAATTCTTAAATTATGAGTTTATTAAATAAATTGATACTTATCATAGTGATTAATTTTAAATGATGACTCATAATATATAAATAATCTTTTAACTACCACATCAGTTAATAAATTCATAATTTATATATCATATTAGGGATTTTAAAAATTCAAATATCACATAAAATATTTCATTATAATTTATAATCATTTGTTAAAAAACTAACAATTATTCCAAGTTCTTTTAGCTATTTACTAAAAATATTATTCAAGTCACCAGATTCAATAGTTAAGATCTCTATTCTTCTTTATACAAGTCAAGCT